TCTCGAGGCCCCGCCCCCGGCTGCGTCCCTGAGCGGCCGCGCTGCCGCGGCTCCCGGGCAGGTCGGTCCCCGGGACTTTGGCCATCGTCGCGTCGCCGGGTGCTAAGTGGCTGGGTACTGGTCTGCACTCCCATGATGGACTCCAAAATAGCTGACCGCTATTTAAATCTGCGGCAGGGCTGTGATGAAGCCCAGGGCATGGCGCCTGGATGGAAAAGGAAACGTGACACTGCTTCTTCGATAAGCTTAGAGGACGATGGCGACGTCCAGAGCTGCCGAGAGGGGCCTAGGTCTCCTCTCCTTATCCCGAAATAGAGAATCCTGATAGGAAATCAGCACAGGCTCCCGTCCCCCTTCCCAAGCATCGCCGTTGCAGCCCTCCACCCCAACACTGCAGCTGCCACTGGCGAGTTACTGTGGTGCTTCAGTTTGATGTTGAGGAAACCCTGAAGTGAATGAATATCTGAAAAAAATTTAAGTGTCTATGGGCTAGATCTTTTGAGAGTTGAGAATATACTCAAAAGATTAAATTACGACAGCAAAGGCTTGTTAAGGAAGGAGGGTGTTGAGAATGGAGTTGACACAAACGTAACGTTATTTTGACATACCAAAAGACTAGCAGCTTTATCAGAGCAGCGTGGCTTTTGCTGAAAGTAGTTTTCTTCATGGAAAAAATTTATAACGGAGGCAAATATATAAAAAACTAAAAAGGATTTCAGAGTATTCCCTTTAGATGTTAATTATAGAATTGTCTTGGCCATGTATACAGTAATACTTTTCACGAGTTATTTGAAATAACTCAGAATCTTGTCTCACATAGGAAAACATGCATAAAAGTGGAACAGCTTGCTTTTATCTTCCTTGACTTTTCTGAGCAATTTCCAAAGAAACTCTGGCTCCAAATACTGGAATGGGTTCATCCAACCGAGGTCTGAGAAAGAACGAAATTAAAATTGAACGACCTGCTTTTTCCTTCCTTGATTTTTCTGAACAACTTCCATGGAAACTTTCGCCTCATAATGTGGAATGGGTTCATCCAATTGAGGCCTGAGGAAGAATGAAATTATTAGTTGAGTAGAGCACATAGGATAGTAGTTAACAATGGCTATAGTTCAGTGTTATCACTTTAAATAATACAAAGTTGTCCATTAGTATTTCCACTGTTAAAGTTAAATTTTAAAGGGGAAAAATATCTACTTTATCCACTTCCTCTTTTTTAATAAACAGATTCAACTTTTAAAAAATTGTACTTTTCCCTCTTCTCAAGCTATGGGTTATTTCAAGTTGCTTCGGGAGGGGTGATGAGGAAAGGCAAAGGGTAAGGTACAGTATGAAATGGAGGAAGGAAAACTCAGCCACTTCTATCTTACGGAACACTTACTGGTATATCATAAGATACACTTTGAGAAATATTAAGCAGCTATTTATCTAAAAATAAAATATGGAGGCAATAGGTGTGCTGTGAAAGCTAAAACAAAAATAGATATGCCTGCCTTATCTCCGTGAGAACAGAAAAACAAACAAGAATGATTTGGTTACTGAGCATACCTAAAAACACCAGTTGATAACTTCTCCATCACGTCTTTTAAGATACGTAGCTGGAAGGATGGTTAAGGTTGCAATGTAAAAAGCAAATAAAACCATTCAATCAGCAGAAGATGGTAGGCAGGTCACTTTTTTCTTTTTTATGTTTAGCAATCTCAGAAATTCAAATTTTAAGTTACAGAAATTTTGTAAGCTGTTAAGTTTAACTCTAAAAAAAGGAGATAGGTAATTGGTACGAGAGGCGGTAACATAAAAGAGCCTAAATTTCTAGGAACAAGTGATGAAAGAAGCAAGCCTAATGCTTGCCCTAAGTAATGACCAGCGTTATCCCAAAGGATGGTAATGGAGTGGTGTCAGGTTTTCACTTTAGCACTATGGAGTGCTATTTCTATTTAAAAACAATTTTAGCACTTACATCTTTTACTTTAGGTGCACATTCATTTACTAAATGGCTACTCAAAATCTGTGTGAAGGAAAGTTAATAAGGTCTCTGTGATACAAGTCACTAAGAGAGTCAGAAAACTGTAAAACTTTTAAATTATCCCATCATTTAACTGTAATATTAAAATTATAATATTAGAATTGAGAGTCTGTAATCAGTAGTAATGGAGAATTATTTATGGCATGCGATCTCACGACTGGAAGGAGAACTCTATGTTAAATCGCAACTGGCTCAGTGTGAACTAACGGGGGGGTTTGCACAAGTGAAGACTAAAGTCTGATTCAGGACTTTAGAAAATGTAAATTAGAAAATATGAAGATAAAACATTTTAAAAAATTTTTAAAAAGGACCTAAAGAATACTGACTCACTTATTCATACTGTAAATTCGTTCCACTTCTGTTAATGAAATTGCCAACAGTATAAATGTGTGTATATAATGTATATTTCTGATTTTTGAAAATTTAACATCATTTCAGATAAACACGTCATGTTTCAACGTGGTCTGTGGGTTTGTTGAACAGGTTAAAATCATCTTCTGGGGTGTGGTAAGGGAGAAAGCTTGAGAAATTTAAGTAACATAGGCAAAGCAGCCCAGCCTAGCTCCTGACACATAAAATTCAAAAACGCTCTTACTTTTACCACATGGTGTAGAGTATTGTTAACATCCTATAGTATTCTTGATAATTACAATGTTATTGTACATTTAAGTTGCTTTAAATTGAAATTTAAAACAAATTCTTCTGGAAAAGTTAAAAATTAAGTTTATTTTCTAAATTTAATAGGAAAGTATTTAATTGGAAATACTTTAATCTCATATACTCACTACATTAAGGGGATTATCTGGTTTCTGAAATGTGCTTTTTAAAACTCAACATCACAGTACACTAATAAAACCCCACATGAAGGCTGTGCATCAAGTCTGTCATGGCTCCTAAAGGAGGCTGGCCTTCACACGTATCATTCATATCTAACCACACGCATTTAACAAAAGTGAAGTAAGGTATTCAGTGGAGACAAATGTAAGGCTATGCAAGTCTCCTTCTTCATGCACACATATACTCTATTAAGTAACAAGAACTTATTTTTTATCCGATATGTTAAAAATTTTACTAAGTGCAGCTGCCTTTAGAATAGTCATCTTAGAAATAAAAGGTTTATTCTTAAGTTCACCTTGCTTTAAAGAGGGTTGGACCTTTCTTTTTGGGGCTGCTTATATATTAAGAAAAGTTTTTGTTACTTTGGCTTTCTTCACCAGATTTGTCTCTGAATGACTTCCATTTTAACAAATCAAACACATTTTCATTTGATGAAGACTTCCTATCACTGACATTCCTAAAAACGCTCCACAAACTCTTTAATTTAGATTTTTTCTGAAAGATTTTGCACAATGGCAAGGTGACGTGTAGTTTCCATAATGCCAGGTTAGAAATGAAACAAAATCTTCCATGTAACTTATGGTTTATCTCCCATTCATAAATGAACAAGACTGCCTGGGTGTGATTCCTGTCCTGACACTTGGGCCTGTATTAATCTTCCTATGCTTCAGTTCCTCACTTGTAAAATAGGAATAATAATAATACTTACACCTCATAGGGTGGTTTTAATGTTTAAATAAATTAATACCTGCAAAGCACTGGAACATTGCTTAGCATGCTCAATGAAAGTTAGCTGCTATTATTTATTATTACCATAATTAAAGAATGATGAGAGTTCAAGGTAAATTTCAAGCCAGAAATTCAAGTCAGTAGAAAAAAAGGATATAAAGATATTTTCCTTGTTGTACATTTGACAGATTCCAAACTTCATCGTTAAGGAAAGCCACCGTTGCTCCCTTGAGGAAAAGGCAGTGGCTATCGGGAGGATCCAACTTGGAGAGAATGAACAAAGACTGATCAATTACCGAGTTTAACAGCAAAAAGATGATTAGCATCTTGAGCTAGAAAAACTTGTACACAAATTAAATAATAATCAAATCAGTCTACGGCCATGCCACCCTGAACAAGCCCAATCCCGTCTGATCTTGGAAGCTAAGCAGGGTCGGGCCTGGTTAGTACTTGGATGGGAGACCACCTAGGAAGACCAGGTGCTGTAGGCGTGAAAAATAAAAAATAAGGGATTGTAAACTGACAAGGTCCTTGCAATCTGTGAGGTCAATCAAGGGTCTCGCAAAAAAACAAACAAACAAAAAACAAAAAAACCCAAAAAACCCCAAATCACAAATAATCGGCACACAAACTTTAATAACAATATGTTAACCATGTTTTCTTTTGCATTTCGTTGTCCAAAATGATGAAACGGCAAGGTCAGATGCTAAGCCAATCTAGAATCCTGGTGATGGAACAGTAGAGAGAGTGTGTGTGTGTGTGAGAGAGATTTCTGGCTGCTACCTAACAGTCAGTTTTATCGGAAAATCAATGAAGACTGGTATATGAGAATTATGGTGTTTGCATACCAACTAATAAAAATATTTAATTTTGGTTCTGTTAGAAAATGTAACTTTGGGAGACAATGTGTATATACACATTGTCGTACATTCCAATTTAAATAATTAGGAAATTGTGATAATTTTATAGAGAAATATTTTGCCATGTCAATAATGTTTGTTACAAGGAAAAAAATTCCTATTTGAATTACCATTAAATTTAGAAGTTACAACTTCTAAACCACTAAATAAAAGTTAAATGAACTTCTCCACTGGGCACCATTTCAACATTTTGGCCAACATGTAGCAAAAGTTAAAAAACAAACCAACCTACATTTCTTTAAAAACAAGGTATAATTTAGAATTTATACAAATTCCGCCACATTTTGCCTCAAAAGACTAAGGCATTATTCTTCGTTAATTATATCCTTTTGGTGTAATGTTTTACTATTTCTGATAATACCTGCAGGTTTTCTTCTGTTGTTATCCAATGGCCTCCGACACCAAGCAGTGTGATGATATCATGTTTATGAGGTAGTAGTTGTAACTTCACTGTTGGTTCATCATCTTTACTATATAATCTCACTTAAAGAGAACAGTTTAAAAAGAGAGAGAAGAGAAATATATTCTACAGTCATCTGATGAAAATTTATTCTTCAAATAAATTTACTTTTTAATGTAGGAATGAGGAAGCATTTTTCTTAAGAAAAAGTCAACACAAGTATTCAGACACCTTAAAATATACTTTTGCATTAAAACTATTAATAAAATTTGCTTTTAGATTTATTTATAAATAAAATAACTAAAGATAAAAAGTCTACTTTCATTTGAAAACCAGGTAAAGTAATAAGATGTACAACTAAGTCTGACAGTTGTAATCAGAACATTGGTAGCTTAATACTTTTGGGAAAGCTGACTTATAACTGAGGAACTCATGGACTCAAGACAGTCATACTTTGACATAATTACTGAAATGTCCACTTGAAAAGTTAATAAAACATACATTCGTTTCTAGTGAAAGATTTTTGTGAGATTATTTCATATCTTGAAAATACCAGTTAGAAATAAACACACGATGGCCATATGCAGCTCTATTCACCTATGATTCTCATGATAGAAGACAAATTCTAACAAAGTATAAATAGAATGCTTTTGCAGGCTTGTGAAACCTCTCTTTTAGGTGAGATGGCACTACTTAAGTGTATACAAATTCGGTGTTAAATAGATTTTTGTTAAACTACAAAAGTTCAAGGAAGGTGAAAATTGAACAAAATACTGTGCACTTTTTCCAAGTAGAGATTGCAGAAGTCAATCATCCAATACAGGGCCCTATATAGCAGAACTGACTGAATAAGCATCTGGCTGAGGCTTGAACTAATATTTATCATATGGGAACCATTGAAAAGGTCACATTTGTAGATTCTTGTAGAGATACTTAAACTCCAATGCCTATACTTTAAAAGGCAAGCATGTTTTCTCCTCCAGACAGAGTTTACAATGGGAATAAAATAAAGATGCTCCAATTTAAATAGAAAAGTTAAAAAAAAACACCCAACAAACTAAACATTGATCAAATATTTATGTTAAAAATTATTCCCTGGTTATATATTTTTTTTCTAAAATGCATCTATCACACTAAAAAAAATTAAGGACTACTGATTTAGCAAAGTACCCACCTCCAGCATCTAGGACAATATCTACTCCCAGGCCACCTGTTTCTTCTAAACAGCTTTCAGCAACATGGGCTTTCCCATTCGATACATCGATCACTCGGGCTGTAAAGGACAGGAAGTCAGGCAACTGTACTGTTCTCTATGTGATCAACACAAACAAATCAGAGGAAAATAAGAAAAGCGAACAAATATCTCTTCTTTGAAATGAATTAAGTAGTTTAAACAACTAATCCAAAATGTACTTTTTTTCATCTAACATGATATTGGTAAGAATCAATTTAAATGAAGGGAATGGTATATTCGATCGAATAAAATATAAGCATTTTGTGGATAACGTGTTCCAAGGCTGGTCTGCTGACACAGAGGACTGTTCCCTATAGCTATAGGATATATTGCCAGGGCTGAGAATCTGTAAACCACAGAGGTACATATATATGAAGACATGGGTTGAAAGATTAAGCAATTTCTTAAATATGTTCAGATTTAATAGAGTTTAGAGCTAAAAAGTACAAAAATATATTTGTGTGATCTAGGTCTCTATTAGAGGCTGTTTTATTCCTTTCTCATAGAAATTCCCTGTACTTCCCTTATTTGCTCCTCAAAACAAAGAAAAATCTTGAAGGTAAAGAAAAAAACATGATTATTTTTAGAACAGTTGGTGAAAATTAAACTATTTTTAACTGGTTGCTTTAAAGTATTATATTAATAGAACAAGCCAATGAGAGAATTAAAATAAAAATCTCAGAATTGGAACTGGCAAATGAAGACACGTTTATGTTTCATTTTTTATCTTTTAACACCTCCTCAAAGAGGATTCCTCTGAGAGCTGCTTAGGTTCACGTGATCTAAGCTTTGGGGACAGAGGTGGAGTATGGAGGACACACAGGAAAGGGGAATGAAGCAGCTAGGAAGGGCAGGATTAGATAATGAGAAACTCTTCCCTTCAACAATACCATTCATGCTTTTTTTTTTCCCCCTCTTCTTTTCAATCTCTTCCTTTTCCTTTTTTCCCTATATTCTTCCTTCTCCAGGCTCTGTCTTAACCAACCTTCCATTTCTTGGTTATCTCTGACAGAAGCATAATGTAACAATGGAAATAACATAAACTTCAGTGCTAGATGGGCCTGGGGTCAAACCCCATCCCGGCCCTTCTTCTAGTTGTGTACCCTTGGACAAGCTAGTTAAATTCTCTGAGATGCTGTTTCCCTGTGTTAGCCAACACAGGGTTGTTGAAGACTTAAAGAGATAACATCCATGTTAACACTCAAACATTACTTTCTTCTTGCCTGCCCTTCAATTACACTGATCATCTTTTCTCTTCATCTGTTAAAAACCCCAAAGTTAACTCTGTAACTCTAGTCTCTTCAATTCTGTTCCTATCTTTCTCCTCTCCTTTTTCATTTTTTCAATCTCTATTTTCTTTTTCCACCCCATGTTTGTTGCCGTTCAGATACATTCAATCTTTTCAAGAGCTCCTCAGTCTCCTCCATGTGCTATTCATCAAAAACTATATTTCACCTGTGTTTCTGTGTAAGTGGTCTGTCTCCCTTTCTATAGTATATCACAGAAAACAGACAACTTTAGTGGCATATCACTGAGTAAAACAGATTGAGAAACATATAAAGTGATGCAAAAATATATCCCTTTATTGACGGAAACCAAAGAGGCATCACCTAATTTGAACTTGGCTAAGTTAAGAACAATGGGGCAAAGAAGAAAAAGCATTGAAAAATGTGGGTTTAAAAAATAAATAATTAGCAGATGACATGATACTGTGTACAGAGAATCCTAAAGAGTCCACCAAAAATCTATTAGAACTGATAAATGAATTCAGTAAAGTAGCAGGATACAAAATTAATATTCAAAAATCAGTTGCACTTTTATAAGCCAATATTGAACTATCAAAAAGAGAAATTAAGAAAACAATCCCATGTACAATTGCATCAAAAAGTAAAATAAAAAACAATAATTAAAATTAAAACTATCACTTTCTTAAACTTGGATTTAGCACAGATACTAAGAGCATTTTAAAAATGACTTATGTTTTGGATTTTGTACTTTGTTTTATAAGCACAATTTTAAAGGTGATATCCCTTCAAAATGTTATGTTTCAAAGTCTGCGTTGAGTAATGCTACCTACCTATAGAAGGCCTAAGTCTTTCAAGGTACTGCTTGTCTTCAAGGCTGCATGCTGTTGAAATCACTTTGGCTCCTCTATGGTGTGCTAACTGAATAGCTATCGTACCAAGTGCCTGTGTAGAAAATAACACAATAGGTTTACAGATACAGGGCAGAGGCCATATCTAATTTATTTTATAGGCTGCTTAATAATGTGTAATACTTTAGTGCTATTTTAGTACATTTTAAAATGTTATCTGATAGAAAACAAAAAGAAATATGGACAAGTTTAGTAGGATAAGACACTGTGATTGACTTTCTTCTTCAGAAGGGGTGGTGGAAAAGCTGCACATGCCATATGCTCTCACCCAACCTGTCCAGAAGGGCACATAATTTCAAGAATGGAGGGCTACATTAAAAAGCATGGCCTTGGAAAGAGAAAAATGGGCCTTTAAGGGCCTGGGCATGATGATCTAAGCTAATTACACAATACACATGCGAGCCCAGTGACCTCTGCTGGAAGATCGGAGCACTTCAAAAGCTCCATCCTTTCTGCTGAGCGGGGGTGAAGTTCAGGGAAACACCGCTCCCCTGATTTGGACATCAGGCTGAAGCCACTGCTGAAGACAGTCCGCCTTTTTTTTTTTTTCCCCCAAAGAAAAGCAAGGGAAAAAGCATTTTCATCAACAGTCAGAAAATAAAGCTATAAATTCACCCCAAGTTTTGTAACATTTTTAGATTATAATATTTTTATGTGTTTGCTTTTAATGTTGAACTATTTTTTTTGATGATACATGTAAGATATTTAAATTAGGACATTTAATGATCTTGTGTGATCCAACTATAAATTCGACACCTTATTAATGTAAGTGTGTGAGGGATGTTATACAAAATTGGTAGTGAGTACAGGGTTTGGCTTCAAAGACTCTTCGGCTACTTCAGGCTTTGTGTAACAAGCATAAAAAAAAACTGCTTGTTCCCTCTTTTCATGTACTAGCAGATTCAAAGTAAGAAACTAAACATGCTAAGTCTACCTTTTATCTCTCACTGATAAAAGCTGCTTATTTCATAAAATGGGAGTTTGGTAAAGAATTCAGTGAATAAGCTACTGGCAAAGAATTATATTAGCAAATGAATGGCCCAGTCCTTAAGTTTACCGTGTTTCGGTCTGTTTCTAAACAAAACTATTAGCACCTACACTTGCTCCATCCATTATCAGCACTGATTTTCCTGGTGAGAGATGAGAAAGATAATGCAGAGCTGTGTAGGCTCGTACTCCATCGCGAATGGTTCCAGCGGCTTCTGTCCATGTAACTTTTTCTGGCTTATGAACTATCACAAAGAAGAAGAGGAAACAATTGTTAGCAAGTCCTGTTAGTCTTGCTTCCTAGATCTATCTCCCCATCACCACTGCCACCATGGCTCTGATCCCAGACTCTACTCCCATTACGATTTCCCTGTTTCCATTCTCGCCCTCTAACCCCAGCAGACTTGTCTCTCCCACTAAAGGTCACAACCATCCTTTTTTTTTTTTTTAGTTGAGATATAACTGACATCAGAGGTCGCCAGCGTTATAACTTAATTTCTTAGTTGCCTTCATAGTTCATCACCCAAGTATACATTCCTAAACAATATAATTTAGTTTTGCCTGTTTCTGAAGTTTATCTAAATGGAATCGCACCCATGTGTTCTTTTCTGTCTTGCTTTTTATACTCGACATTGTTTTAAAGACACATCCTTTTTTGTACCTGTGGCTGTAGTGCTTTCATTTTTGTTGTTTTATGGCATTTCCCTGTGTGAAAACACCATTTCGTTATCTGTTCTCCGTTCAGGAAACATTTGTGTGGTTTCCAGTTTTTGTCAGTTATAAACAATGCGGCTAAGAACGTTCTTGTAGAAAAGATTGTGTTATGCTGGTGAACAAGTTTTCTCTAGAATATTTAATTAGGAATGGAAATCTCAGGTCTCAGAGTATATTACCTCGACTTTACTACATTCTTCCAGAGTGGCTGTATAAATTTATTCTCCCGTAGCCGTGTATTAAAGCTCTTGTTGCTGTGAGCATTCTTGTCAACCCTTGGTATTAGTATACATTTTTACCAGTCGTGGGTGTGTAATGGTTTCTTACTGCGATTTTAATTTGCTTTTCCCTTACTACTGAAGTTGAGCATCTTTGTGTTTGCTGGCCATCTGCAATTCCTTTGGTGACGTGACTGTTCAAGTGTTTTATCAATGTTTCTATTATGTTGTCTTTTTCTTATTGACTATAGGAATTTTTATATATTCTAATGAGTCATTTGCTTGTTTATGCGCTATAAACATTATTTTCAACTTTATGGCTTCTCTTTTCAATCTCTTTAACAGTGTCTTTGAAAAATAGAGTGCTGGTACGATCTCTTAAAAACATAAATAACATTCTAACACTTTTGTGCTTAAAATTCATCAATGGCTTTCCAATGCACTCGGAACAAAATGCAAACTCTTCATACAGTTTCAAGAGCTCTACTTATCTGATCCTCAAGCTGCTCCTTTATAATGATTACTTACTTTTGTGTTTATGTTGTACACTGAGTGTGACATAAACAACCCTCTCTCACTTTACCCAGTCACTTTTATAACAGTTTTCATAGTCTTTACCAGCCTTTTCAAATATTTTTCCTCTGATGGCAATCAACTCAGGTGGTGGAGCCCAACAGTCAGCATTGCTTTTACCAACTGACTAGTGCCATCTAGTGGGGAAGCCGAGCATCCAAGCATACATGTTGAAGAGGTTACAACCGACCGGCAAGGCATTAAAATAGTAAAACATATTAAGCAGGGTAATGACAGTCATGCACTGCATAATGATGTTTGTCAACAATGGATCACATATACAACAGTGGGATCACATATAATCCCGTAAGATTATAATGGGGCTGAGAAATAACAACTGCCTAGTGACCTTATAGCCATCTTAAGTACTCGGGTGTTTGTGGTGATGCTGGTATAAAAGTATAGCACATACAATTATGTACAGTACATAACACTGGATAATGATAATAAATAACAATATGACTGGTTTAGTTACTATACTTTTTAGAGTGTACTCTTCCTACTTATTGAAAAGTTTGCTGTAAAGCCACATGCCGTGCTACACCTCATACATCTTGTGTTTACTGCATCCCTTCACTGCATCATTTTATCTTGTGCTTCATTTAATCTTGTGTTGTTTTGCATAGTAACATGCTGTACAGCTTGCAGCCTAGAAGCAGAAGGCTTCTAGGTGTGTAGTAGGCTGTGCCATCCAAGTTTGTGTAGGTATGCTCTATGATGTTCACATGAGGAACTTGCCTAACGCTATATTTCTCAGAATGTATCCCTGTCGTTAAGTTGCACATGACAGTAATTAATTTGTCTGAGACCATATAGCTAGTAAGTTTGAATGTCTGACTCTAAAACTAAAGTAGAATGTCTGACATCTAATCTAATAGTATGTGCTCAATTTATGTGAAAGTTCCTTATATGAAATTTTCCAGGAATGTGTTCCATCATAAGAATTGGGACTACCTATATTTTTATTAAAAAATCAAACAAGCTGTCCTTAAAAAAATGCTAACAGTAATAAACTACATTTAAGATACCAAAGGAACTGAAATTACATGGTTAGATATGGTTTAATGTTAAGATCCTTGCTTTTGTGTAAGATGTCCACAGTGTTTAAAAACTAATTATTATAAAAACTAATAAATAAATAAAAGAGAGCCATGTCTGGATCAATAATAACAGTGTAGAAGAACCCAAGAATTATCATGTCAATTCTTTCTACCTTAAGTCAAAAGGAATAATGCTGAAAATTGTGCCAAATTTTGAATAAAAGGTAAAATTATTTTTATGTTTGACAGAATAGCTTGAGAATTGAAAACACAAAAGAGCTGGAAGAATTCCTCAATTTTTAACCCTCTCCTTAATGTTCTGCAACAGGATCAATAAGACAGTTTTGGAGAAGTTGTCTGGAACTTAGTTCTTTGGCTCAAGGAAAGAACAGACTTCTCTGAAGGTGACTGAGTACTGAGCTTTCATTAAAAAAAAAAAAAAAAAAAATCACCAACGAAGTAATGGGAACTAAAACAGAGTTGTGGTAAACTGAATATATGCCCTGAAAATCTTTAGGGAACATGATGAAATCATTTCCTTTTTCATAAAATGTTGCACTGCAACAGAGCTTAGAGCTCGCCTCGTTTGGCACCCTTTTTTATGGACACAGTAAATGTACCCAGGGTTTTGCTTAAAGTCATCCACAATTGGTGGTCATTCTTAAAGTATTTTCTTAACATTTTACTGTATTTTCTTAAGAAATATCTGGAATAATTTCCTCTATATGTTGGTGAATTTCTGGACTATAATCCTCCTGATTTGTAGCAAAATAAAAGGTCATTTGTGTGGTTTGCTTGTCTTAGCTTCAGCTTTATAGCTAGGAAACTTTGATGTTCCCATTTGCTTTTCTCCTTCTGGTCCATTTTATAATTCTCCAGTGTTCAGCAATGCCTATAAGAATGAGCCTTTTTTGTTTTTTTCAATACTTAACCTTCTATAACAATTTAGTTTAGGGGATTTAGCCACAATTCAAGCCTGGGAATCCACACTAAAGGTTTTTGTCGACTCCATACTTAGAAGGTTCTCAAAAGAACATGGGCAACAAGGGCCCAAGGAAATTCTGGAGTCAAAAGTAGTGGTTTCCCATAAAGGAGCCAGTGGTGGTCATCAATTTTCAAATTGCATAATATCAAATAGCTATGGATCGGAGACTTTCGTAGCATGGTATCTGAAGATGAGTGAGCTTTATCTTTCAAAGGAAGACACATTCTAGCCTTAAAATACATATAACTAAGCACAGGCCTCAGATTTCTGGAAAACCACCTTTTTAAATTAATTTTTAATAAAATAATATGGCATTACTTGGAAATTTTAGACACAGTAAATGTCATTAAACAAATTATTTACAATTTATAAATTTAGAAATGAAATGTCAAGAGCTTTGCTAGCCCAGTTCAAGTTACAATATGGACTCGAATGTATAAATTTACTAATTTTAACAGTCCAAAATCCAAATTGGCCTTTTGCCCCCACAAGGTCCAATTAGGGATTTTATCTTTAAGAAAAAACTTTGGAAAAATTTTAATGAAATATTTCAGGAACACAAATTAATATATGTTGACCTATATATAGATAAGGTATGAAGAATAACATGAGCCCTGCATAAGGAGGAGCTGATTGGCAGTACCGCTGGAGTCCCGTGACCCACGCCGATCACATACTCCTCCTCTGCCCACAAAGGTAACTGCCGCTTGACTTATTTTTGGTTCATTGGTTTATTTTCTCAGCAATGCATACATTTTTATAATGGCCAGGTAAGATGTAAGACATCGAGATTTTTTTTAGAAGGAAATTTGAGACATCCTTAAAATGAGACACCCTGGAATGTTGGCTTTTGTTGGAAATGTTAGTGACGCAAACCTCATTTGAAGCTACAAGCTCTGTCTTGTTTTCATGTGTTTTGTGTAGCAACTGTCACAGTTCTGGTAGCACCCAGTAACCCACCTTCCCTTCACTTCCGGTTATATTTAGAATTGAAGTGAGATACAATAGACTACACTTTATATTTCAGTATCTCCCAATTCATGAACTGAGTTGTATCATAAAAGTTAATTTGTGAGTTAGCTATCTAATTTCACTGTAGAAATCATGTACATAGGTTTTTAATCTTTGCTCTCAAAGTGTAATTAATCCACGAAGTCTAGCTTTTTTTTCTTAAAGTAAATTCAAGATGTTATGTAATTCTACCTTTATGTATTTCAGTATTCATCTTTAAATTACAGGGACATTTTCTGATATAACTATAATGCTATTTTCACAGATGAAAAAATTATCAGTAATTTCTTGATGTCATCTAATACCCAACCCATGTTCAGACTTCATTCTCTCAGAAAATCTCCATCTGATTTTTCATCTCTATATTTTCTTTATATCCTTAAGATATGCTTAACTTTGTGTGGTTTTGAACTTTATAGAAATAAATGGTATCACACTGTTTGTATTCTTGCTTTCTTCACTCAATACAGTTTGTGAGATTCACCCATCTTGATATGTTTGGCTGTTATTTACTTATTTTCACTGCTGAGTTAAATTGCCATCTTGGAATATCTTTAGTTATCCATTTTCCTGGTGATGAACATTTGGGCTGTTTCCCTTTTCATTTCACAATTACAAACATGCTATTATGAACTCTTGTGCATTTCTACTGGCGCACATCAAGTTTCTGTGAGGTACAAAACTGTCTGTAGAATTATTAGGTCTGAGTATCCATCGTTACCTTTATTAGATAACGCTAAAATATTTTCTAATGCATTTGTACCAATTTACACTCCTGGTGCATAAAAGGACCCATCGTTCTGCATCCTTGCTGACCCTTGCAATGGTCACATTTTGTAACTATCAGTCTTGTGTGTGCATAACGGCATCTCCAAGTGGTTTTAATTTGCTTTTCTCTGATCACTAAGGAGATGCAGCATCTTTTCACTATGGTTTCATGAAGTGTGTGTGTATGTGTGTGTGTCGTTATTTTAATTTAAATATACGAAAAGAAAATTATTATAAGAAAAATTAAAATTTATTATTTCAGTTATAGGGAACACTTGGCAAAAGATATTAGCTAAAGAAATCAAAGTGTTCTTGAGTCTTTCCTGACTCAGACTCTACATGTATTATCTAGATTTTTTAAATTAACCTTTCCAATTTTAGTTAATAACCAAAAATAAGAAGTAAAAATATTCTGATTAGGAATATTTCAGAGCCAAGGAGAAACTGCTTGTCAACCCTCTTACCACGAGTGTAAGTGAAACTTAAAGTTCTATATACTGCTTAGTAGGAATATAAATTTTATGATACTGAATTATAAGCTGGGGGATTCATACGACTGGCCAACAGTTATTTCCTATGTACACTCACGGTAGATACAAAAGCATCAAAATGTTACCAGCCCCCACACATCAGTGAAGTGAGACTTTTATGCCACATACCCAGGTAGTGCTCATGTACTCTAACAACTTCGCAGAGTCCAGGGTCTTCAGAATCCAGGGGTAAAATTCCTGAAAATTAAAACGAAAAACTTAAGAGAAACAATCCCCACATGAATGCATTAATTCCTAATGAGATGCGCTTTAAGTGTTAGTCTAAATTTTGTTCAGTGGAATTTTGAGG